TTTGAACAGACCGCTCAAACCATAGCAGGTTTGGAGCCAGAACACTAACAAAAACCAGTTCCTATTAAAAAATAATAGCATAGTTAAAACAATGATAAATTATTAGATATATAAATACACACATATGAAAGAAAGAGAGAGAGAGAGATAACTTCACCTATTAATAAAGGTGAAAGGACCTTGGAGAAACAGACTGTGATGAAGGATTGATGCCCCTGAGTTATGAAGACCACACAGAAGTGCTCCTGTGCAAGAGCAGGTGGCCACACTGAGCTAAGAGAGAGATTGCGAGAGTTAAAGGGGTGTCAGGAACAGTCTTTTTACACCAGTTGTACTGCTCTCACCTGTGTGGGTTAATCTGCATTTTATTTGGAGTGTAAAATATTAATGTCCTGGGGGAAAATCTTATAAAAACCATGAAACTTCCCACATAAAATGGAATTAATTCACAACACAGAAGTATGTGTTGCAGCAGAACACATTTTTTCACAAAAAAATTCAGAATAGAAAAAAAGAATACATTTAGAAATGCATTTTATGAGGCTAAATACAAACTAGGACAAGATATAAAATTTACAGTCAAACTAAGAAGCATAGATCCAAAATTTATAGTAAAACATTTGCAAACTGAATTACATAAAAACATTATAATCAAGTCTGGTTTGTCCCAGAAATGCATGTTAGCAGATTAATGACTTAGAAGATTTATTAATGCAATTCACTGCATTAACAGATTAAAGGAAGAAACATGATTATCTAAATGGATGCAGGAAAAAACATTTGATGACATTCAATATCCATTCATGATTTAAAAAATATAGCAATCTAGGGATCTTCTTTAATCGGTCAAGTTATCTACAAAGCCTACAGAAAATATTGTATTCAGTGATGAGTCATTTAAGGTATTTATTTCCTTTAAAATCAGAACAAGACATTAATTCCAAACAGCATCTCTGCCACTGGCACTTCAAGCACTCTTGGATCTACTCTACTGGTCCAGTAGTGGAACAGCCTTCTCTTGTTCTAGGTCTCACTGAAAACCATCAACTTTTCCAGTTATTTGGTAAATGGGCCAGAGGCCCACTAGACATTGTACATCTGTTGTTGTTGTAGGAAAGGCCAGATGCAACAATTTACTCTCACCAGAGAAGGAATATATGCAGAGTGTTCCCCAAAATGAATACACACTTTAACAGCTGATAGCTCAAGTTTGAAAATAAAATTTATTTTAATAAACACTGCCTTTTTAATTATTCAAAGTGTGTGTATATATTTTTTGGGGACTATATATATATCCCACACCACTGAACTTCTAGAAAGTAGAAGGTCCCTGAATTTTTTTGTCAGACTTATTTTCCATTCTGTGACACACAAAAGGCTGATTAGCAATTGGTCGCATCATTCTACATTCCCACCAGCAATGCACAAGGATTCCAATTTCTGCAGGTCTTCACCGACACTTGTTTTCTGTATTGTGTTGTTTTGTTTTCAGAGCAGCCACACTAATAGGTGTGAACTGATATCCCATTGTGGTTTTGATTTGCATTTCTCTAATGGTTAGTAATGTGTATTTTTTATCAATACAAAACAATGCACGTGTCCAATTTAATTATCTTTACTATGAAATGATCTGTCTTACTGCAACACTGTGATCCCAGATTTCTTTTTCATATTATTTTTCTGGCATATTTAGTTAATCTCTTCATTTTCTACCTTCAAGTGCCCTTTAGTATTAGGTTTGTCTTTGTAAACTGTAAAGTTGATTATTTTAAAAATCATTCATTCAGCACTATTGAGCACATGTTATTTGGTATATACGGTGCCAGTCACGGAGGATACAGTTTGAAGAAGGGGATTATAGTCAATGATGGAAGACAAACTTTATGATTACAATGAACCATTTTAAAAGAATGAGTGTCATGAGAAGGGATATACTGTTTTTTTTTTTGATTTTGCTTTTACCTAAGTTGAATGCCAGTTAAAAATATATCTTTTATAGGTTACAAAATTTGGACATAATTTAGATAAAAATTTGTAACAGATTTTAACACTTCTCTTACCAATCAAGAAAAAGCATCAGGGGGCACCTAATTTTCCACACTTAAAATACATTATCACTTTTCCCTCTTATTATCATTGTCATTATAACTACGAATAAAAAGGGTGCACGAGAGGATAGGCGGTTAGAGCTGATGCCGAAAGACAGATTCAACCTTCTCTGGCTCCTAGCAAGGGGCGTTCTCCAGCCTCCCGCCTTTGGCCCTTCTCGGCCACCGTAGAGGTACCTACGGCGGCGACGTCTGGGAAATGTAGTTCAAAAAGAAAAGCGCTATGCTTCAGGCGGGGGACTCGTCGGCTCTCCGGGGCGCAGGCACAATTACGCCGGGCGGCCTGGCGGCGGTGAAAAATGCTCCTACGCTAGGTGCTCCGCTTGCCTACAGGGAGGCCCGCCGCTT